AATAATAGATGATAACAGTTGCTAAATAATCCAATTTTTCATCCAGTGCAAATTTCAAAATTTTTAAGAAGCCTGGATGACGACGAGTAGCAAACAATATGTAACATTCATTTTTTCTCTGTATTCACTTTTCACAATTGCATCCGGACTGGCCATTTGGCTGGACAATGCCCGTCGTCAAGACAGCGGGCAAAAAGGAACAGGGCTTCCAAGACCATAGTAGTTGTCCATCATAGCCATTATTATAATGGACATACTCTGTGTCCTTTCTAACTAATAGATGATAACAGTTGCTAAATAATCCAATTTTTCATCCAGTGCAAATTTCAGGCTTTTTAAGAGACCTGGAAGACGACAAGTAGCAAAGAATATGTAAAATTTATTTTTTATCTGTATTCACTTTTCACAATTGCAGTCGGACTGGCCATTTGGCTGGACAATGCCCATCGTCAAAACGGCAGGAAAAAAGGAACAGGGCCTCCAAAGACATAGTAGTTGTCCATCATAACCATTATTATAATGGACATACCTCTGTGTCCTTTCTAAATAATAGATGATAACAGTTGCTAAAAAATCAAATTTTTCATCAAGTGAAAATTTCTAGCTTTTTAGGATATTTTCTATCTGTATTCAATTTTCACAATTGAAGTCGGACTGGCCATTTGGCTGGACAATACCCATCCTCAAGACGGCGGGCAAAAAAGAACAGGGCTTCCAAGGACATAGTAGTTGTCAATCATAACCATTATCATAATGGACATACCTCTGTGTTCTTTCTAAATAATAGATAATAACAGTTGCTAAATAATCCAATTTTTCATCCAGTGAAAACCTCAAGCATTTTAAGAGACCTGGATGACGACGAGTGGCAAACAATATGTAAAATTCATTTTTTCTCTGTATTCACTTTTCACAATTGCAGTCGGACTGGCCATTTGGCTGGAAAATGCCCATCGTCAAGACGGCGGGCAAAAAGGAACAGGGCTTCCAAGAGCATAGTAGTTGTCCATCATAGAATTATTATAATGGACATACCTCTGTGTCCTCTCTAAATAATACATGATAACACTTGCTTAAACCAATTTTTCATGCAGTGGAAATGTCAAAATTTTAAAGAGGCATGGATGACGACGAGTAGCAAAGAATATGTTAAATTCATTTTTTCTCTGTATTCACTTTTCACAATTGCAGTTGGACTGGCCATTTGGCTCGACANAGTCGGACTGGCCATTTGGCTGGAAAATGCCCATCGTCAAGACGGCGGGCAAAAAGGAACAGGGCTTCCAAGAGCATAGTAGTTGTCCATCATAGAATTATTATAATGGACATACCTCTGTGTCCTCTCTAAATAATACATGATAACACTTGCTTAAACCAATTTTTCATGCAGTGGAAATGTCAAAATTTTAAAGAGGCATGGATGACGACGAGTAGCAAAGAATATGTTAAATTCATTTTTTCTCTGTATTCACTTTTCACAATTGCAGTTGGACTGGCCATTTGGCTCGACAATGCCCATCGTCAAGACGGCGGGCAAAAAGGAACAGGGGTTCTAAGGACATAGTAGTTGTCCATCATAACCATTATTATAATGGACATACCTCTGTGTCCTTTCTAAATAATAGATGATAACAGTCGCTAAATAAACCAATTTTTCAGCCAGTGAAAATTTCAAAATTTTTAAGAAACCTCGATGACGATGAGTAGCAAAGAATACGTAAAATTTATTTTTTCTCTCGATTCACTTTTCACAATTCCAGTCGGACTGGCCATTTGGCAGGACAATGCACATCGTCAAGACGGCAGGCAAAAAGGAACAGGGCTTCCAAGAGCATAGTAGTTGTCCATCATAGCCATTATTATAATGGACATACTTCTGTGCAAATAATCCAATTTTTCATCCAGTGAAAATTTCCAAATTTTTAAGAAGCCTGGATGACGACGAGTAGCAAAGAATACGTAAAATTTATTTTTTCTCTGGATTCCCTTTTCACAATTCCAGTCGGACTGGCAATTTGGCTGGACAATGCCCATCGTCAAGACGGCAGGCAAAAAGGAACAGGGCTTCCAAGGACATAGTAGTTGTCCATCATAACCATTATTATAATGAACATACCTCTGTGTCCTTTCTAAATAATAAATGATATCAGTTGCTAAAACCAATTTTTCATCCAGTGGAAATTTCAAAATTTTTAAGAAGCCTGGATGACGACAAGTAGCAAAGAATATGTAAAATTCATTTTTTCTCTGTATTCACTTTTCATAATTGCAGTGGGACTGGCCATTTGGCTGGACAATGCCCATCGTCAAAACAGCGGGAAAAAAGGAACACGGCTTCCAAGGACATAGTAGTTGTCCATCATAACCATTATTATAATGGACATACCTCTGTCTCCTTTCTAAATAATACATGATAACAGTTGCTAAATAATCCAATTTTACATCCAGTGAAAATTTCAAGCTTTTTAACATATTTTCTATCTGTATTCAATTTTCACAA